AATATTTTCATGGTAATTGTTCTGATGAGCTTTCATCTTTGGGATTTCATCTTTACAAATTTAAGCGCAGTACTAGATTGGCGGTAAGGTCTCATCATTTTACATTTGAAATAGAAAGATATAACATACTAACAGTTACTCCTCTTTAATTTTCGCTTGTGGAACTTCCGTCTAGCTTCTTGCTTTCCAATCAACTTTGATCTTCAAAAATGTAAATGTAATGTCAATCTTTATATTCTATCTCCTTAATTGATGTTCCTTTTTCTCTCTTTATTAATGTTTTTTCCTCATATTCTTTCACACTCAATAACTCCTTACGTTTTAGTGGCTTTATTGCCTTGTTTGGGGTAAAATGACTTTAAAAAGAGCATATTACGAAGAATAAACTCATTTCTGCTTTCATTGGCATACGATTTCACTGTTACAGTTATGCATGCATACACGCTCATATATACATGTATATACACACATGTACACATACATAATGGCCGGATGCTTATTTTCCGAACATATCCGTCTGTTAGGGTGGTTAGCTATTTCCTGTTGCAGGCACCTGCTCAGGCACATTGCTGTTTGCTCAATACACAGAGACCCCACTGTGTTTTACATTGCAAATATATTGAGCAGATCACACTTGCAGTTCCTGAGAGAGAGAATGCATAATTTAGCATGATCAACAGTTTGAACAACGCAAGTACACTCAAATCCTCAGTCACAATGACTTGTGACTTTGTATTAGCACAACTATCTACGGCATTTTCCAAAGGTACTGCACGCTGTGGTCGCTTTCCAAGACCGGTCACATGAAGAAATCACCTTCCTGACAAATCGAACCTGTTGAGATTCAAACACTAGTATCATGGTTGGAAAGTGAACGTATATGAACACATACATGAATACATGAACACATATACAAACACATATAGATACACATACATACTTATATATTTATTTATTCGTAGTTGTTATTTGGATATGCAAGTGGTGTAAATATTGTCAGTGCAGAAAGTGAAATCAGTGAACCGAGTTCAAATTCCGACCTAGTCAGTAGCGCTTACTGTCGTACAATATTTTGAGAAAAGCATAGATTTATTTCTTATTTCCAATAACTATGGGTTAAATAGTAAAGTTTACCGGACTCTCTGACATTGGGTGGCAGTTAGTTACGGAGATGAACTATTCTGAATTCAGCAAGAAACCACTCCACTATTTTTCGCAAGAAAAAGAAACTATACATTTACAGAGTTATTATCACCCACATCCTGAGTGAAAGGACATGGTGGGTATGGTATTTTTTAAAAATCTGTGTCACCCCATGAAAGTCAGTAAATCTACTAAGACACGAGGGTTTACTGGGTGTGTAAGAATTAGAAACGGAAACATTCACCAACCAAATCATGAACAGAGTAAAGTGGCTGTGCCCACAATTATAAATGGCCCCGAGGTTATGTCTTCCTCGACAGTTAAACCTCTTCACCTCCATCTTTGCCTCTAACTCAACATTAGATGACGAAGACCATCTACTCTCCACGTTCCCACGTATCACTGAACACAATCTCAGTAATATTACCATCACAGCACGAGAAGTCTCCAGACTTATCAAAAGACTTGGCCCTAAAAAAAGCCACTGGTCCAGACAAAATTCCAGTGGTTGTCCTTAAGAATATCAACCCGGAATTATCTCCAATCCTAGGAAAATTATTCACCCGCTGCTTGAAGGGGAAATCTTTTCCAAGCCAGTGGGAAGTGTCAAGCGTATGCCTAGCTTTCATGAATGCGTGCGTTCAATCTTCCCCTCTCCCAGTACAAACACAACAGTCTCCTCAGTACCATCAGCAAGCTTTTTGAGGTTATAATCAATAAGAATATCGTCGAGCACCTAGAAAAGAACAACCTCTTCAGCGACGTGCAGTATGGGTTTCGGTCGACCCGATCTGCTTCCGATGTCCTAACTACCATCACTCACAGAATCAGCAAGGCTATTGTCGACAAACACATCTCGAGAACCATAGCACTAGATATCTCAAAGGCCTTCGACAAGGTGTGACACAAAGGTTTACTACACAAGCTCTCCAGTTATTGAATCACTGGAAGGGTCTTCTTGATCATAAAACCCTTCATATCAGGAAGGATGTTCGATTAATGGGTAGTCCTACTGAGCCAGAGCGGTCAACGCAGGCGTCCCACAGAGGTCACTCCTCGGAGCAGCCCCCTTTTTGATCTACATAAATGATCTGCCTAAGAATATACTCAGATCATTTGTAAACATCTATGCCGATGATACGACTATATACGGGTGCACTTCTAAAACTCTTGCTAGTCAGAGATTGACGACTGAACTCTCTTCCGATCTTGTACAAACTAACCAGTGGGATAAAACTGGCTAGTTATATTCAATGCCTCGAAGACCAAGCTAATTACATTCCATTATCGCCGATCTGACCACGAACTATCGCCAATCAGGGTGAATGGAGGTCCTCTCGAGGAAGTATCGTGCCTTGAAAGACTGTTGGGCCTCATAATCACACCCGACCCCAAATGGAACTCTTACATACGTAATCCATTGCTAAAGATGCAGGTAAAATGGTCAGCTGTCTGTACCACTCTAGTAAGTACATGACTCCTCATGTTATCCTCTATCTTCACAAGAGCGAGATTGAGCCAAAAATGGAGTACTGTTATCATATTTGGGTGGGAGCTGATCAGACCCCACTCTCCTGCATTGATAGAGTTCAAAAGCGTCACCGAGACATTGTGGGTGATGAATTATTCTCCACCTTTCAACCTCTCTCCCACAGGCAGGATGTGGCAAGTCTCTCGCTGCTTTATCGCTACTTACATGGAAAGTGCTCGGACGAACTACATTCTCTGGTCCTGACAAGTCAAACTTTCACAGCAAGAACACACCATGCCACTGTAGCAAACCATCCACATTCCCTCCGTATTCAATCAGTGAGATGTAAGTTCCACCCGAGCAGATTCTTCCGGCGAACCACTGACCTGTGGAACAGACTCCGAAGAGGATATTTCCCTAATCATTACAATCTTAACCTGTTCAAGGCTAGGGTTAACCGTTATCTTTCACTCCTATACACAGAAGTGGTCTCCTAATGTAACCCTCTACCTTGAGTGGCAACCGGGCCTTGGAAAGTGTGAACTTTACTGTAAAACAATGAGCGGAAAGAGAAAGGAATAATCAGGGAGGGGGGACAATAGATAGCGATTGACATTGCATTTAATTTTTTCTAGTTTAAAGTTGGACGAAAGGCATGGAGCCGGAATGGAGTTCCACAAGCGAGAAGTGCTAGAACAGAAACTGTTAGCATAGAACTTACGGCTACATCTAGCCAGCTCAATTGAAAATTGATGAGATCTCGATGCCAATCTAGAACTGCGCTTGAATTCAAAAAGCCTAGATACCATAGCGAAGAGCTAATCTCAACAATTACTATGAAAGTATTTATAGAAAAGACACAGAGAGAAAACCTTACGGCGGTGGGAAAGTGATTGTAACTGAGCCGCCAGATCAGGACCGATAATATTGCTGATTCATCTTTGGATTTTATCAAGGAGCTGAAGGTATTAAAAAAAAAAAAAAATAAAACAAGTGAGCTACATATATAAATACAGTTTTCTTTAAATATTTAGTTTTTGTGAAATCTTGTGTTCAACTTCCAGAATGGTACGGATTATTTGCAATCAAATTGTAAATAATTACCAATCACCAATGCAATGAACCTACGAGCAATAAACATCTAAAGCCACAAAAAAGAAAAATACCCAGGTCATATCATTTGAAGTATGTGCGCCTCAGTGCGTGTATATATAAAAGAAATACCTGGCCATTCGTATTCGAGGATACCCGTCTACTAGGGAGGCTAGCCAATCCCTATTGCAGACGTTCGCTCAGACACACTTGTGTTTGCTCAACACCCACAAAAACCACCTATGGTTTATACTGCAACTATGCTGAGCAGACCTTAGTTACAGTTTCTGGGAGAGAGCGTGTTATCTAGCGTGATCACCAATTCGAACAAAGCCAATACGCTCAAGCCCTGGGCCATTATGTCTTGTGGCTTCGTGCTAGCACATCTATCGACGGACCCAAAGAGTTCCGTCGACCCAATTTCACTCACAAGGCTTGGGTCAACCCGTGGTATGGTTTTCAGGTACTTTTCAAGGGTGCCGCACACTGGGATCGACCTTGATCCAGTCTGATAACATCAGAAAGTCTTCTTCCTGGCAATATATATATATATATATATATATATATATATATATGTATGTATGTATGTGTGTGTGCGCGCGCGCGCGTGACGCACGGATGCATGTACAGATGATAGGACAAGGTTCATTAATCATCTTTTTTGTTTTATTATTTTTTACGTGGAGACGTAAGTAATTTTTAATATCACGTATACACACGGATAGATAGATAGATAGATAGATAGATAGATAGATAGATAGATAGATAGATAGATAGATAGATAGGAATTGCCTGGATGTAAATTGGTGATACCCTCTGAAAAATGGACGGAGAGGTCTATCTACGAAATTCTGGAGTTGGGAAGGTAACATCACTCAGCTAATGCTCTATCTTTGATAGCGAACACTTTTTTTTTATTGCAAATAATGATTACATTTTTTCTCTCAATACCCCATTTGAGTGTCAGCATTTTGGGCTTCATACTATCTTTGACATTGCTCTCTCTCTCTCTCTCTCTCTCTCTATATATATATATATATATATATATATATATATATTACTTTCCTCGCGTCAAATTAGAATCTCTTCAACCCGACAATTAAATTTTCATTAAGGAAAAAATTAAAAATAAAGTAATAAATAAATAAATACATAAAAGAAAAAAAAACAAAAAAAAAACAAAAACAAACAATGTAACTGCCCATTGGTCAACAAATCTAATCATAATCAATTTTAATTTTATAATTATTTTCACCACATATTGGTTTGATCTTCTCTTCATTGTATTTCAAAAATGTTTATCTCCTGTCCTATCAACCGAAGTATTCTGGATGATGGATATAACAAATTTAATAAATAATCCTAATTTAAAATATGTGAAAAATGTACTTATTCCAATTTTTTAATTATTTTCCTTTTTATTTTTTTGTCCATAGACTTAATCTTTGCCCACATCTCTAAGCTCTCTCTCTCATTCTCTTTCTGCCTTTCTCAACATCACATTGTCTCGGAATTCCTGGCAATCCGAAGTAGAGCAACACGATATTCACGTGCCACAATTCGCAAGTCCTGTGTATGACGATGCCACAGCCAAGTTGAGGTAGGCCTGTGCTCCCTTTTTAAACAAATGGTGGTAAGAAAAAGGAAACGAGAAAGAAAATCAAGAATAGGAAAACAGAATATCCAGTAAATATTCTCAGTTACTTAGTGCATAAAAAAGAACAGGAGCCTTTTCTGGGGCCAATATTTTATTTTATGTTCTTATTGATTGATTGACAATATTATTGAACAAGTGAAGCATGAATATATATCCATCTGTGTTTGTGTTGTGTTCGCTTCTTTTGTTGCTCAGGATGTCATAAAGGAAATAGTTTAGGGAGGGTATTCAATATTCATTTTTATTTCAGAAGGGAATTTCGAAATTAAAAAAAAAAAATCAGTTTACAATACAATACATTTTTATTTTAAAAATAAAACCACGTTTCGCTTCCTCTATTATTGATTTTTGAACCAGCAAATTGATTTTTGTAAAAAAAGAAAGTGGCAATTATTTGATTTATTTCAAATTTCCCAGTGAATAATTTCTTATTGTTTTTGCCTGTTAGAAATAGAAAGTGATCCTCTACCCAACAAAATCGTCTCTTTTTTTTAAAAAAAAAAAATATTATGTTTGATTCTTAATGTCTACTGCTAGAAAGTAGTTCACTCATTGTTGTTGTTAATGCTTAACAATAACATTGACAATGTTATGCACGAGGCGGGAAAAATGAATTTGTATTTTTTATTTAAATTCTTTATTCGTTAATATAAAAATATTTTTGGTCATTTGTGTGTGCGCGCGCGCGCGTGTGTGTTACTAGTTAGTAGTTTGTTTATCACCAAAATGTTTTGATTTGAAAAAAAAAAAAAAATCAAATCTTGAGCTGTGTGTCAGATTAAAATTGAAAATGCTTTAAAGCTTAATTAATTTTTTTACTCCGCCAGGCGAAAAAATATCAAAAATCTAATTGGAGAGAAGTGAAAAAAAAGAGGCTATTTGACTTTGAGTTTATATTCCTTAAATCATCATTCCGAAAATTCTAAAAGTTTAAAGGAAAATGGGAAAAGAAATTATTGCAGAACTTAATAACCATATGCAAAATAAATAAATAAAAATATATAATAAAAAAAAATGAATAAAAGCCAAAAATACTGTTTCGTTTGAATTTAAATAAAATAAGGAAAAAAAGCCGTACATAGCTCGTTTTTGTTTTCTTAATTTGATTTTTTTAATCACACTTTTTTCTGAAAATATGTCTTTAAATTAAATTTAACAATTTTTCTTCCTTTTACTGAAAATGATAAAACAAGTACTAGTAATTCAACTAGAAGCTTGAACAAAAAACTACACTTTTTTTCAACTTAAACTGTCACCGTCTTTCTCGGCTTAGTGTTAAAAAAAAAATAGAGAAAAAATAAAAAAAAGTTGCGACTTGAGCGCCGTTGTCAGTGAGCACGACTATACATCGGACGATGTTCACCTCAATAGTTGCCAGAATGGGCTACAAGTAGTAGTGGATTGGGCAACATTTTTTTTACCACTACTAGATTTTGAATTGACTCTTCTAGCCTGGATTATTATTTTTAACCCAAAAAGTACCAAATTGTGAAATTCAAAATTAAACTTGAGAGTAACGTTTGACTTTCCTTTCAGAAGTCAACCAATCTGACAAAGAGTATCTATCTATCTATCTATCTATCTATCTATCTATCTATCTATCTATCTATCTATCTATCTATCTATCTATACCAGTCTTCTTATCTATCTATCTATCTATCTATCTATCTATCTATCTATCTATCTATCTATCTATCTATCTATCTATCTATACCAGTCTTCTTATCTATCTATCTATCTATCTATCTATCTATCTATCTATCTATCTATCTATCTATCTATCTCCGTTTTTTTCTCTATGTCAGTCTGCTTCTCAGTCTCTTCACATCTGTGTTATGTTTAGTAGACCTTGTGTAACATTCAGTAGTGATGTGGGTACACTGAAAAATCTACGCCCTATCTAACTCTATCTATAAATGTATGTGTAAAATCAATATTTGATTGATGCATGTTGATTGGTTTAATATTTTGATGCTTTATTGACATAGGAGGAAGTTCATGAATGGGTCTTAAAATAAACATCAACAAAGACATTGCCTAAACCACCCACGCCTCTTATTTATTAACTGAATACTGATTATCTAAAAGTAAATATCTCAATGAAAGATTTTTCCGTTCTCAAAATTGTTTTTATTAACAACAAGGTTGGTATACTGTCAAATTATTATACTGAGGATATAATTTATGCCTGGATCAACATTTTTATCCAAAAAAAGTAGCTTTTGTTTAGTCTTCTTTTTCTTGTATGTGCCGTTCCCTTTTTAGGACGTGGACGATCATGGCTCTCCACAACTTCCTGTTTTGTAGCTCTTAACAGTGTTTGTCTTTTTGCTATCACTCCTAATCCATATTCTACTAAGCATTTACACAACTTCACTATGTTTTTCTCTGACTCTCTTGCTTTCAGTATGCCCTGTGAGTGTTAAATTTTCCAATCCCTCATTCCTCATTATATATCCTAGAAATTTCAACTGTCATTTTCTGATTCAAACAATGTGTCATTTTTGTTTCCAACTTCTCTGTAAGTTTGTCATTACTCACATGTTCACTACATGATATTCTCAGTATCCTACTGTAGAACCACATTTCTGTTGCCTCATGTCTCTTCTTCATCTCTGAGGAGATTGTCCATCATTTGCTACTATATAGGAAGATTGATATTACAGAACAGTCCAGTACTTTTTTTTATTTATTTCTAATGTAATTTTTCTATTTCTTAATATTTTGCTTAACTTTTGAAAGGCATTTTACTATTCCAATCTGCCTTTAGATTTCAGTGTCTCTTTTACCATCCACTTGTTAAAACATCTTCTAGATATTTAAATTTTTGTCCTTGTTTGATTTTGGTGTCTCAAATTTGTAGTTTGCATCTTGAGTTGTTGCTTTTGCTGACAACGATACATTTTATCTTCTTACAACTGATAGATAATACTTTCTTTTCTTTACTGCAGGAATGTCTATAGTTTACTTTTTGTATCAGCTATCAACACTATGTCATCTATATATCTTATATTGTTAAATTGTAGCTGCCAATATTGAATCCTTGTAGGACTTCTAATTCTCTAAGAATTGCCTCACTGTAAAGGTTGAATAAAATATATCCTTGTCTTACACCCCACCTTTCTATTTTTGTGTATTTACTGAATTAATTTTTTATCTGTATGCAGGCAGGCAGTTTGTTTCCAGTATATGTTTTGGATTGTTCTAATATTCCCAAATAAATCATGCTTATGTAGTAGTTAAAACGTTTCTTTGTGTTATATCTTATGAAATGCTTTTGCAATAATCTATAAAACTCTGTCTAAAATCAGAGTTTAGTTCCTTGGTAGAACAGTGTTTGTTAGTGTTGTGTTTGTAGTGATCACAAGGGAGTGACATAATTCTGGCTCACAAAAAGACTATTTTTAAGGTAATAATAGAAACTAAGTATTAAAGTCAGCAATTTTTGCTCATAGTCAAATTCCCAAGACATTTGTGTATATACCTAATAAAGTAGCCAAGAAACTTCTATGAAGTGGATATACTTTCCCTCATACAAAGATGGAACACAACAACTAAAAAGGAAGGATTATATTGAGGACTAGATTTGGAATCTAGAAACTTTTTGTGTTCGTTTTGATGTTTTATATGCTTCTACTAATGAACTAAGACATTATGACTAGTAATATGTGGTAGGAATGACAACTACTGTCTCCTAACAACTGTGTATGTCAGGGAAGGTCAGAGATATATCATTTCATTATGTTGAACACCACATTTATAGGCAAGAAGATTTGAGTGAGTTTGATAAGAGGTAAATATCTAAAATGTTATGGCCAGAAGAAAGTACATCTGTAGGGGTGTTCATGTTCAGTTGTAATGAGTACTTATGAACAATAGTCTAAAGAAGGAAAATAAATAACTGCATTGAACAGCTAAGAAGTGAAGGGAATAAAGGCTTTCCGACTAAGTATGAATCAATGGATGGGCTAATGTGGCATAAACTGCATATAATTTTAATCAAAATGAAGAAAGGAATATGTGACACTAGACAATAGCTTGATCCTTATTGCATCTAGAACTACATAAGTGTAAGTAAGTCAGATTATCTATGTGAATAAATTTCTATTACTGAATGCATCTTCAAAAGGTGTACAAGTGTTGGAACTATCAATGGGAGAAGGTTGCCTGTTGTTTTATGACATAGATCAAGCAGCTGTCCATTATATTTGTTTTGGTTCATATATATATATATATATATATACATAATTTATTTATTTTAGGATATTACAAAAAAACATGTAAGAATCGCTACACAATTGCAATGTGTTTTCAGCGCATAATGATGCGTCTCCTCAGCCGATTGTAAATTACTGGCAAGTGAACGATTAATTTGGTTTCAAAAGCAAAATACATTTTCATTTTTGGGAAAAAACCTGTTTGTATATATATATATATATATATATATATATATATATATATATATATATATATATGAAAAGTGTATATAAATATAAATAAATATATATATGTATAATTATTTATATATTATATATCGTACTTATTATTAAGCACTCAATATCAGAGATAGAGCTAACATATTTGGTTGGATAGATGTGAGTTTGTGACCAATACCAAATCTACATAAACCCAAATTTTTAAAACATTAATCAGTTTGTCTGACGATTGCTAAAAGCGTGAAACCCAGGGTCACAAACTCACATCTATCAACCAAATATATATATATATATATATATATATATATATATATATATATATATATATATATATATATATATATATATATAAATATATATATGTGTATGTATGTGTGTGTGTTTTAGTACATACACACACACACACATATATATATATATATATATATATATATATATATATATATATATATATATATATATATATATATTTTTGCTATATATCTCGAGATTCTCAACAAAATCCAAAGAATGGTTTGAAATGTAATAGGTCCTGACCTGGCTTCTTGAATTTAATCAGTTTCTCACCACAATGACATGGCTTTCCTCTATCTTTTCTATAAATATTTTCATGGATTTGTTCTGATAAGCTTTCCTCCTTGGTATCACAATTGTATGATTTTAAGTATATTATTACATTGGTCTCAATGCTTTATTGTTGAACTAGATAGATGTAAGTTCTATTTTAATTGTTTCTTTTCTTGCACTTTTTGCCTGTGAAAATCTCTTTTGGCTTCTAGCTTCTCTGCCACCTACAATATTCAAAAATTTAAAGGCAAAGCTAATTGCCATCTTTTGTCTTCCTGAATTCTGTTTGTATATTGTCCTTTCTCTTCACTAATGTCTTCTCATTTTCAGTTTAGTGACATTATCACCTTGCTTGTGTTGAAATGATTATATATATATAATAAATTTAGACTAAATTCTCTTGTAAGTCAACGTCCTTCACCAGGTTTTTCCTGCATTTCTTTAATTCACAAAAAAGTTCATCTGTGTTAACTTTCCTATTATGGATACTCTCATCAATTATTGCTCAAAGGTTTTCAATTGGGTTAAGATCAGGGCTCACTTACTAGAACATGTCTATAGCATTCCACAAAGAATTAACACCATTATTAAAGCAAAAGGTTACTCAACAAAATACTAAATCATTTTTTGACTTGTACATGTGTACACCTGTATTAATACCTGTATTAATAAACAAATTCTATTACTCACTTGTCTTGGTAAAACCACAAAAATCAAATTTCTATGTGTGCATCCATTTTTTTTGCCTTGTACTGCATATATAGTGCATAGATAAATAAAAGTTTTAATGACTTATCTTGCAACTTGGAATTTCACAGACCCAGCTCTGCATTTCAGGGTAAGATAAGTCATTGAACTTTTCATTTATCTATTCAACTATTAATCTTCAATTTTTTAATACTAAGCACTTTATTTACAAAAACTGTTTGCCTTAAACATTTTATCCTTAAGTAATTTACTGTTCAACAGGTTTTTTTTAAGCATAAACTAACTTTCTGAGATGAGTAGTTATTGTTTATATTCAGTCTATTGTCCTCATCTTTGTTGTTGTTATCACAATGTTTGTGCCTTAGTGAATTTAAAATGTTAGTTCAGGAATTTATTCAAAACAGTAATTGTGAGTTAAATCCCTGGTATTGTGTGCTTGGACTCAGTGGAAAGTGCAAACAATAACTGAGTAGTTCTAAAAATAAGAACTAGACGAGATGTCCCTAGACATGTACAGTGGAACGAGGACACTCTACCCCTCTTTATGAAATAAAGGGTTCAGTTTGGAATTCCCTGTAGGTTACTTGGTTCAATACATACCAAATAAAACTGGAGTGTACAACTGCTAAAATGGGAAAACAATAAAAATGAACAATAGTCTGAATGTAAATAGTATAAATTATAAATTTGTTATTATTAATTAATTAATTATATATGTGTGTGTGTGTGTGCCTGTATATGTATATGTGTGTGTGTGCGTGTGTATACAAATCAAAAATTATGAAATCTGATGCAATAATTAACTGAATTTTGGTGAGATTAACACTGCATAATATTTAACATATTGGATGCATAGAGAAGCATTGTGTTAAGTGCATTGACAAAGAAGGAGATTATGTTGAAAAATGAATCCATATTGTGTAAACTAAATGCTTTTTAGAATAGTCAGCTATAGATAATGTATTTAATGCCTGTATGTATGTATGATGTTATGTGATAGTCATGAGGATATTGTGGTAGTGGCCATGTATATATGTACATATATTTCTTTGCATCATGTGTTACAGTCAGTATTTTTAAACCCTAAAAGGACATTCAAAAACCCAAATTCATTCAGTAAAAGGATATTCAGAAACACAAATTAACCTTCATTTATATGTACCTAATAGTAAATGAAAGTATCAATATGTCTAGTTTGTAACAGCAGCTGATATTTTTCAATCATTGAATAAAATAAATAACCAATCAGAACTTTTCTTTTTTCTAAGTTTCTCTTCACTCTTCTCTTTTTCTATATTTCTATTCCCTCTTCTCACTTTGTATCTTTATTTCTTCTCCCTCTTAATTTTTTTCTATCTCTATATCTTTTCTCTCTTTTCTATTTCTATCTCTATTTCTCTTCACTCTTCTCTCTTTATATCTCTGTTCCTCTTAATTCTTCTCTATTTCTATTTCTTTTCCTTCATTTCTATTTCTATCTCTATTTCTCTTCACTCTTCTCTCTTTCTATCTCTATTTTTCTTTCCTCTTCTCTATTCTTATATTTTTTAATATAATTTTGCCTTTATTCTCCTCCACCACACCATCTCTATCCCCCACTCAATTGCATGAATCTATTTTTTGTTTTTATTTCATATACAGAGCAGCTACAAGATTGATTTCAGTTTTTGTATTATCAATTAGGCTTTTTGTTCTTTTAGTTTTTTTTATTTTATTTCAATAGGTTTTATGCATTTCCTAGCATGCATTCTGTTGGCTAGTTTACTTAGATTCTATTTACCAAAAACTTATCATACACTTAGATATTTCTTTAGAACTAAATCAAAAACTTATCACCAATGTATGTATATGTGTATGCAAATATGCATGAGTACCTTTAGACATACATACAAGAATTCAATATATGCATAAACTCACTCACTCACTCACTCACTCAATTTTTCCATCTTCTCATTTATAAAGAACATTTATTTACTAATCCTAGTCAGGAATGAATCTCAGATAATTCCTTTCACTTGTAATGACTTGGAAGATTGACTTGTAAACTATTAGGATCTTTTATGATAATTCACCACCAAATAAAAAGAATTTATATTTACTAAAATTTGCACCAAATTCTCCCAGAGTGAATCCCTTCCATTGCATTCTGGTTGGATTGACTTTTGCGATCTCTAAAAATGTAGGCGACTCAAGTGTGCTATTTCTAATAAATATTCTGCTTTTGTGTTCACCCTGAAAACAAGCCAAAACAGATTTTTTTTGATTTTTTTAATATTCTAAGAAAATACTTGTAAGTACCTCAAATATCATCCACACTTATGAAATGTGAATAACTCACTGATTTTTCATTTTGAGAGTTGGAGTTGTTGTGATGCAAGCTAAACAAATTGTGATTTAAAATTTATAATTTCAAAAAAGTGCCAAAAATGTAATAAAAAAATAAACATGGATTTAAAATTTATAATTACTTGAGATGAAATAATATTTGTGATAAGTAACTTTATATTATTTAGAGAGAATTAACTAACTAAATAAGTAACTTTACATTATTTGGGGGTGATCCAAAATATACTTTTACCCTAATCAAATGAGTAAACATGATCACCAAAGTTAAACAATGTCAAGCCTGGTCAGTACCTAGATGAGTGACTGCTTGGAAATACAGGTGTTGTAAGCTTGAATATGTGTGCGGTGTTATGGATTATGGCTCAGAATTTTTAATCAGAGAGATGAGTTCCAATTCCCATTGGGTTTGTTATATTCACTTACGAGCAAATATCCTTGGGAAAGGTATCAATCCACCTCTTCTGCCTCCAGCTATGGGTTAATTATTAAGAGTGGTATCACTAAAACATTATTTCCCCACAAATTCTTACAATCTATAAATATTTTCTGGCTTTAAATAACCTGCAAGGGTTGATAATCCATAAAAAAATGAATCAATCAATCAATAATGGATAAACACATGTATATGTGTGTCTGCATGTGTGTAGGTTGTATACATATGTGAGCTTGTGGCTGAGTGGTTAGAATATTCAATTTCCAACAATGTGACCCAGGTTCAATTCTCACCATTGTTGATTTGTCAGTAACTTGACTTCTTAATGTTATCAGTCTAGGAAAGTGATTTCAGTATGCAGAATCTTTGAAAATTATCTGGAACCCATACCACATGTTGATCCAAGCTTTGTGAATGAAATTGAATAGATAGAACTGTTTGGAAGCCATTGATGGTTGTGTTAGCTTGAAGTCACAACTCATTGTGACTGAGTGTACTGGTATTGATCAAATTGCTGATCATACCAGATTATATGTTCCTTCCCCAAAACTGTAACTAAGTAATTGCAGTATAAACTACAGGTGAGTTCTGTGTGTATTAAACAAAGACAAAGCCTGAGAAGGTATCTACAACAGAGATTGGCTCGCCTCCCCCTAGCAGATGGGTGTATTCGGAAAACAAGTAGCCATCTATTATACATATATATCTATATGTATTTATTTATCTATCTATCTCTATCTATCTTTTTATATATACCTAATGTAATCAATGTATCTCAAGAGACCCTAGATCTGCACCCAAAATTTATGCCTCAACTACTGATGGTGGCACAGCATCTGATATGGCTGTACAGGTACACCTGGGGTGACAGTCTTGATTGCAACAAATGCATGTAATTCTTTTTTTTTAAAAAACAATCTTTATATATATATATATATATATATATATATATATATATATATATATATATATATATAAGATTCTGATTTGCTAAAAGAAATTACAAACATGTTCCCTGATGAGTGAATATAATTTCTGCAAAACTTTTAGAAGGGACAAGATGAATTAACATTTAGTTTTATCTATCTATCTATCTATCTATCTATCTATCTATCTATCTATCTATCTATATATATATATATATATATATATATATATGATTAGTGTGAGTAAAATTTTTCACTTAGCTGACTGATGTTACCAAGAGAGATTATTGTTGTTCCAATGAGAGAAAAGTGTATATTTTAAAGAGAGAAAACATCAGAAACCTTTTTGATTATAAAGTGTATTTTATTTCCTTCTATATATTTTGTTCACATATTTCATGTCTTGTTACCTTCATCAGGTGAATAATAGTTATTTCCACATATTATTTAAAAGAATGAACTTTTTCTTTTTTTTATTCCTTTAAATATGTGGAAATAACAATTTTCTCTCTTTAAAATATATACATATATATATATATATATATATATATATATATATATATATATATATGATTTAATTTAAAGAAAACTGGATAACTTTAAGGTTCCATAAGGTTATAATTTATTTCCCCAGGAATCTTCTTGTTCCCTGGATCATCAGACCTAACTTCCAAGTATGAAAAAATTGAATTTAAACTTACACTTTTGGAGGGTAGTACTCAGTGGATGTAATTGGGATTATCCATATGGATTACCAAGATTTTGATTACTCAACATATATATATATATATATATATATATATATATATATAGATATAGATATAGATATAGATATAGATATAGTTAGATAGATAGAGACTGTATCATTAAAGAAATCAACACAGCATTATGACTTTCAGTTTTATGCCTAAAGGATGTCATTTTGTGTGACATTTATAGGCTCCTGAGAGCACATGTAGACTTAAGGAATGGTGAAAACAAGTTTTTTCTATATTTTCGTTTAGGCCTCTTTTAGATTATTTATAGTTTTGACAATGAATTTGTTTATTTTAAGTATTTGTTTATTTTACTATATTTTATTTTTATTTGTTTTATTTAATATAATTATCACATTTATTTATTATTTCATTTCATTTTGTTTTATTTATTTCATTATGTACTAAAGCTTTGTGTTTCCTATAAAGTTCATTAAATTTAGTTTATGTTTTATTAATTGTTTAATCTCTAGATATTTAATGTGGTTTTAGATTACATAGTAAGGATTTGTTTTTATGGTTATATTTGGAAATGAGCTCTGAACTTTAGTTTATATTGTTTAGAAAGATGATTATTGCTTTTTTCTCATCCAGACAAAGGTTATATTGTTTTGAGATGTTGATGTAAAAAGGTTCTATTTTATCTTTTGTTGTGTTTTGGTTTATGTTTTTAAGGTTCTATATATGTTTTGAAAGTATTGTACTATTTTCAAATTTTTTTATGTTAAATGGTGTTTTGTATAAGCAGTTTTTGTGTTTTCAAAGTGCTTCTCTTTATATATACTGACACTGTTATTCTACTATTTAAAAACAGAGTCAGTCAGTTATGTGCCATGTGTGAGACATGCTTAGGCAATCATGACTGACAAGGCAGATTTTTTTTTCTCACAGTAGGTTGCCATTTCTTTCTGTGGTTGACCATTTTCCATCCAAGGCTATAGAACCCAGTCTGTCCTGCTATTTACCCATAGCTGGGGGGAGAAGAAGAGGATTCATACCTTTCCCAAGGTTATTAGTACATAAGTGAATGTAATTGATTTGACTGGAATTTGAACTCAGCTCTCTGATTCCTCAATCTGAGCCACTATCTATTACTCCACCATGCCTCCCCATAAAAAAAAACAGAGTAGTCATTGCTAATTAAGTAAAGATATTATTTTGTTCATCAGAGTTATTAACTTGACCATAGGAAATACTCCAAGATGAAAGAACCTAATGAACTATGTTTTTATTTTGAAGTAAAATTTTAGTTTTAATTTTAATTTAAATATTTATTAAATAATAATTATTTCCCTTAAAAAATATAGTGTTATTGATTAGACTAAGATAAGATTTTGTATTCTAACCTTTTCAGCTGCAAAACTATCATCTTTGATCCAAGATAGATGTATTGATCTATATATAAAAATACTGTCATTTTTAATATCCACTACACTAGTATTCATAAATATAATAGTAAATCATATATATATATATATATATATATATATATATATATATATATATATATATTTTGAAAACACAGGAAAGCATTCTTCTCTAAGGATCCTTTTCAACCAACACTTTATCAGAAGAAAACATTGGTAAATATTAAATTGATAGAATAACAATTCTGCAAAAAAAGAAAAATATAAGGAGAAAAAGGTGCTACCCAGTCTTCACTCTCCAAACTTAATAGAGTTCAAATGCATCTATGTAGCCTTGTGGGTGATAAATTATATAAATCCACTCTACAACCCCTTTCCTATAGACAAAGTGTTGCAAGCATCTTGCTACTCTGTCACTATTTCCATGCCAAATCTTCTGATGTGTTACAATTCTTAGTTCAAACAGTTAGATTTTTGCAGCTAAGACCTGCTATGCCATGTTTACAGGGTGACAAATCATCCCCATTCAAAGGGAATCAGGGTGATTCATCCCAGTATGAAAGAAATTCCATTTGGACAGCTTCTTTCCAAGAACCATTATTTTGTGGGACAGACTCCTGTGAAGCTCCTTTGTTGATTGCTATAATTTTAACCTCTTCAATTATTACCTTTTCTATATATCCTCAAAATCTGTAATGTTTCCTTCCCTTCTCTTATGTTCATGCAACAAATTCATTAATAACCCTCTACCTTGAGTGGCTCTTCCTGGTTGGTGTGCAACAAAAAATAACTATAGTGATGATGTTTGAACATGATGAACAGAGAAATGAGAATTATGATGATCATATATTGAAATGTTACTGTTACTGTTAATAATGTTGATGAACTATGGTTGCTGCTGCTGCTGATGATGATGATGATAATGGTGACAGAAAGAGTAGGAGGAGTAGTTAAGTACATAATAATAAAAAGAAAGAAGATAAAGAAGAGTAAAAAGAAGGTGTAAAATTAGGAGAGAGAAGGAGATGATTAATTCTGACATGAAGAATTAGAAAAAATAAGCAGATAAGAAAAAGGAAGGTTGGAGAAAAATGATGTTATGGTTGATAATAATTAAAAAAAGAAAAAAGAAAGATATAATAATGTCTGCTCTCACAAAACTGGGGTGGTGGTGGTGGTGGTGGTGATTTGTGTTGTGTGCAGGCGGCGGTGGTGGTCTGCTGTTGGTTGTACTGACAAACCACAGTGGAAATCTGAAAGTGGAAATGAGGATAAGTATCTTGACCTTGTCAGGGAGCCTAGAAAACTGAGGGACATGAAGGTTACAGTTGTGCCAATCATTATTGGAGCACTGGAAATTGTCCCTAAGAGTCCACGAGAAGAGGTGGAGTGTCTTAAAATCAGGGAAGATGTTAGAAGATCCAAAAGATAGTACTGCTGAAAACATCTAGAATACTAAGGAGAGTTCTGAAGTAATGGGGAGACTTGACATTTAATCTCCAATGTAAATTACCAGTCACTATCAGTCTAAATAAAAACTCTATGAATAATAATAATAATAATAATAATAATAATAATAATAATAATAATAGACATAAAGAAATAAAAAAATTGTACTCCCAAATATGGCCCACATCTTATGAAAGACTTTATCTATGTAAAATGTGTGTGATCTTATAGTTTTTTATTGTTTTTTTCCTCCAAAAATGCTCAGTGGAAAATGTCATGATGCCATTTTTAACCTTAGGTCTCTGGTTGGGCACGCGGAAATAAATGAGTATACACCAGAAATCAATAATAATAATAATAATAATAATAATAATAATAATACAAAAGACTTATAATTTTGAGTTGATTTTTTTATATTTTTATACTTGTATACAATTTTTAAACATAACTTGAAGAAAACAGACATACTGTCAAAATACTGCTGAACTTTGTCAAACATTGTTTTTTCTTTCCTTTTTCTTAAATTGTGCTCTTTAAGTGTTGAGAAATATTGGATCATCAATCATTTTGTTTGTTTAATAATAATAATAATAATAGTGATGATGATGATGATGATGATGATGATGATGATGATGATGATGATGATGGAGGTGGTTTTACTAATGGAGGTAATGATCTTATTCATGATAAAGATGATGATGCGTATTACATCGTCTATCAATAATAATAATCATTATTAATGATCATGATGATTAAAGTAGGATCAGTGTCACTAATCTTATTAAATCCTTTCATTTCCTTTCTTGCCATCACCCATCCCCACTATTGTTTTCATTACTACAACTACTATCAACACGTTTCATTTAATCCAGCCCTACCTGCCTTCAATAAATAAGAATGAAATTCACAGGTTGGTTCCAAGTTCAGTGTGTATGTATCATTATTATTACATTGAATTAACAGCTAAAAAGTAGCAGAGGCAGAATAAAGAAATAAAGACAGAGACGGACAGACAGACAGACAGACAGACGGAAAGGAGTGTTAAAGTAAGAGTAAAAATAATCGATAATCAACTTCGCAGAACAGAGAGAAAGAGTGTGTGCTTGAGAAAGTAGATATCAAAAAGAGAGGGGGTAAAAGGTAGTTCTCATGACGCACAGCCAACGCACTAGACAATCAAATGAACTACTCTCATCTTTAGTTTCAATCACTCGCTTTTTCTCCTCTTTCCTACATTATTTCTGTTTCTCTTCCCTCCCTCCTCTCTCTCTCCCCCCTCTCTCTCTCTCTTTCGCCCGCTCTTTCTGTCCCAAAAGAGAAGAGAAAAATAAGAAGTGATCTCTTTTTATTTCTATTGCTGCCGTGGTCGACAGTGCGCACGCTTGCTTGCTTTTCCAAAGACAACATTCCTATTAGCAGAGGGGGGGAATCCAAAAGCCCAACAACAATCATCCATGGTAAGTGAATGAAGTCCTCCCTTTTTTATGCGACTTCTTCATCATTTGTATTGCCGTATTTTTTTTAATAACTTTCAATGAACTTATATTTCTTTTGAAACAACATAAAATGTTTAGATTATTATTGTTTTAAAAATACTGTTGATTTGAAATTGAAGATAATCACGTCGTACAACATAATTAATAAATTAATAATAATAATTATAATAATAATTTAAAATTCTTAATTTAATTTACAAGGAATTCATATTGCTCAGGCTTATTTTTTAAAAACACTTTTCTTATATCTCTCTAAAACATGTTTACAGTTTAAATCTTTACTTCCGATCATCACCCATATTTATTATTATTATTATTATTATTATTATTATTAGCTACTGTTGATGCTTTCACACCCACACACATCCAACCCACCCTCCGAGTTGGATTTGATTTTTTTGTTTTTTGGTTACACTTGTTAATATTACACAATATCGAAGCAGAAGCGCAAAAGGTGTCTTTTTATTACACAGTAGTACGGTAGTTACAGAATATTCAATAATGCGTACAAATTGTTGTTGTTGTTGCTGCTGCTGCTGCTGCTGGTGGTGGTGGTGGTGGTGGTGGTGGTGGTGGTGGTGATGATGATGATGATGATGATGATGATGATGATGATGATGATGATTTATTTTACATATTTTTGGCGGGGGGTACTGGCTAAGAAGTGCTTCCTGCTTCATTGCGACTATATTACCATCTGTTTGTTTCGGCGAGGTTGAAATGTGCGAGAAATTCCGATTTAGGAACTAAAAAGCAAGCAACAAACGCTTCTTTTATTTTTATTTATTTTTTTACAAATATGACATGTCGAATGACCAGTCGTCGACATACATTGCTGCAACCATCACTATCGATCTGTACTCCTTATTTTTAATGGAAAATGGCGTCATAGACTATTAAAGAAAAAATAATATTATCTATCTATCTATCTATCTATCTATCTATCTATCTATCTATCTATCTATCTATCTATCTATCTGTTTTCATAAATGGAGGAAAGAATCTGTCTCCATGGAAACGCATAAATACATTGATCATGTCATCATAGAAATATCTGATGCTTTTTAAGGTCTATGTCCGAAAGTAGGATACACAAATGAAAGATAATTTTGTCCTTGTGATACGAATAAACCGATGTTAATTTAATGTTATCAAGGGAAAGAAATTTGTAAAGTTGAGAATCATCCGTCAATTTTTTAGTTTGAGGTCAGCCTCGGCTTCTACTTTCGTTTTCACTTTTAAAAGATTTACTTAAAAAAGGGAACTGGTTTCATTTTGTTATCACTTTCGCATAGATAGATAGATAGATAGATAGATAGATAGATAGATAGATAGATAGGTAGATAGATAGATAGATGACTGGTATAGATAGATAGATAGATAGATAGATAGATAGATAGATAGATAGATAGATAATTCGTTATATTTTTCATATGATAGCCAAGAAATTTTTCAGTCACTCTATTGTGCTGTTGCGTGTTGCATGTGTTAGAATAAAAAAAAGCTCTTTGCGTATGCATGCACACACATGTGCCACACAAAAAATGTATGTTCCAAGCAAAATATCAATCACTTAAAAAGTTAAAAATGTAGTCAAATATCTACATTATTATTATTATTATTATTATTATTATTATTATTATTATCAAACATATTTTCTTCTATCCAATTCTTTCTTACGAGACTTTTCACGAGCGCGTGTATGAGCCTGTGTGCTCCCGTGTGTGTAAAAAATCTATTTGATTTTAATATTTATTGATTCCTTCTGTGCCTGTTCATCAATCATAATCCATTATTGACTGTGAAAGTTTGATGGCATTCATTTCTCTTTTATTTGCATAGTAAACGGAAATCTATTAGAAACAAATTGTAGCGAGACTAACAAGAACAAGTAAACATCGATGAATTTTATTAAAATTGCAAGTTCCCGTATAGAATAAACGAGTTCGTTCTTTCTTTTTTCTTTCTTTCTTTCTTTCTTTCTTTCTTTCTTTCTTTCTAAAAATGTTTTTTTTAGTATTTCTTCTTACGACTTTTTCTTGAAGAGAAGGATACGCCATGATAACCTGTCGCAGAGGTCCTTGAATATAGAGTTGGGAGATGTAAGGACAGTGTCATGAGTGACAAACGAAGTGCTTACATGACATTTTTAAAAATTATTAGACCTTAAGGCTTAGAAAAATATACTTTTTCATGAACATTAATAAAGTTATAAATGTCAGATCATAATTTTGACTCTTTCTTTTAGTAAGTAAACTAACCGTTAGTACATTTTTAAGGTGACGTACTTGTACTAACTATTATTATTATTATTATTAATCAAAGATAACAAATAGAAACGAAGAAGTTAATAATTATAAAAGGAATAGATAATAAATATTTTAGATTTTAATATCCAGTTGATTTGTTTTACTGATTTTATCCCCAACCAAAAAAAAAAACAAAACAAAAAACACCCCACCCCCCAAAAAAAACAAAAAAAACAAACGGAATTATTCAATACATACGTTTTTGAGCTAAGATATTACTATTCATCCTGTCTTTGTTAATTGCACTGAAACACTGTCTAATTAACAGCATTTGGTAATAAGTATAAGAGTGATCTTGTGTATATTCCTATCATATAATTCTACTTGTTCTTTTGTTCCTTTGTATGTACGTTACGCCTTGTACTAGCTTGCCTGTCCCCTGCCCACAAATTCTTGATATAGTAACAGCGAACAAAGTAAATCTCAAACCATTTTTTCTTAATTTCCAGCAAATTTTATTCTATTGCATTCAAGCTGTATATATGTGTAAGAAAGAAAGGGAAGATAGAGGAAGTGATCAATGTCTGTTTCAATAAAATGGTATAGTAATATGGAATATGCCAATCTGAAATTATTAGTAATAAAAAGGAGCAAAAACCATGAAGTTTCAATTGGTCCTGCTCTACATGATTAAGTGAAATGTCATAAAAACCTATTTGAAAAATGATTATAACTTGATATGTAGCATATGTCTGTATGGGTATTTAATGAATGTTTGCAATTTATGACTCTGATGTGGATTCTGTCTGCCTTTTCTATAAATATTTTCATGGCTATTGTTCTGATGTGGTTTTATCCTTGGTACCTTGACTGCATAAATTTAAGTCTACTACTAGATTGGCAATTAGGTCTCATTTTTTTACTGTTAAATTACCAAAATGCAACCTTGTGTTCTATTTTAATAGTTTCTTTTCCTGCATATCTTGGCTGTAGAACTCTCTTCTGATTTCTTGCTAAATTGCCACTTTTGAAATTCAAAAATTAAAATGCAACATCAATGACCATCTTCTGTCTTCCTGAAACCTGTTCTTTTATTGTCCTTTCTCCTCACTAAAGTCTTCTCATTCTCTTTCACTCTCAGTATCCTCTTGCATCTTAGTGGCATGATCACCTTGTTTGGGATGAAATGATTAAAAAAAGTGGCAATCTGTCAACTGTACAATTTCCAGCTAGTTATTAATAATCTGGAACACAGCAGTTGTATACTGTGTAGTGTTACTGTGACAATATATGTAGTGTGTGCGTATTCTCTATATCTCATGTATAAAGGATAGAGTATGTAATAGTGTGCATGGGATTGTTTTGTGATAGTGTCCCTATGATCATGTTTGCTTGGGATTGCATATGTGTGTTTAGGTACATCAATACATCAGTAGCCAAATGATAAACAAGTATTTAAGCATTTATTTTTCAACATAATCCTTTCCATTGTCAATGCACTTAACCCAATGCGTCTCCATTGGATATTATACAGAGAAAAATTCAGATCCGAAAATGAAAAACTACACATTATTAAGTTTCTAAATAATGAAGATTTATTAAACCATAGACATGTGTTAACGGTTTTCTGTCGACATTAACAAATTTTCACATTAAATAATTAGCATGAAAAAAAAAAAGAAAATTTCATAGTCTAATAAAAAGGTTTAAAAGCTTAACACAATTACAAGATAGAAAAACCCTTTATGAAGTCATCAAAAAAACAAATTGTAGTTCAGTGTGATGCATTTAAGTACGAAACAGCCTTTTAGAAAAAAATATAAATAAATAAAAGGATAAATAAAATAAAACAATATATATATATAAAAACGACATATATATATATATATATATATATATATATATATATATATATATATAATAAAATAATGTACTTATTCAAACTCCAAGTTTCATTGCTATAGAACTAAAACCTTAATCTATAAACTCTAGTCATGTTCTTAAATAACCTTGTCAGATTGAGACTTTCATACGGATGTGATACATAGCGTCAAACCTGTTTGGAAATATCTAAACTGTCAGCTGTATACAACCACTTTCTAAGATCAATGTTTAAAAAAGGTTTTAAACAAGTTAAGCATATGGGTCTTGGCGCTACAGAATCACAAATAAAGAATTGTACCAAATAATAGAAACCACATCACTTAAGAAATTTCAACAGTAGAACCAGCTAAAATGGATATTGCATGTAATGTGAAGAGAAAATAATGACATAATCAAGATGTTGATGTTCCACACTACTTCAAACAAAAGGTTAGGAAGGAAACTTGCATTAATACTGGAAAGAGCATTAAAAGCTACTGAACTTGAGAAAACTATTTTCCTGAAAAAAATATTTTAAGAGAAAGATTTTATAAATTATGACTGACAAGGTGTGTCAGAAAACTTGCAGAAACGACTCTGGTCCCACCCATCACAGGAAAACCCATGAGCAATCTCAACAGACTTTACAATACAGGCCAGGACCTGTTCAAAATAACTCAGTTTGTTACATCTGTAATAAGCATTGCAAGTGACTTACTGGCTTCAAGAACCATTGTCATTCTCATGAGAATCAAAATATTGATCAAACTTGTCAGTGAGCATCATACTCATTCAACAAGTTGACAGCTATCATGAATGTATGTATATGGGCATGTGGCCAAGTGGTTAAAACTTTTACTTTCTTGCCATGAGAGCCAGGTTTGAATCTTGTTATGGTTGTTTTGTCAGTAAGGTGATTCTTGATGGAGTGGTGAGTCTGAAGTGGTGAGCCTAGCATGTGGCACCTCTGGAAAATATCTGAAAACTATTCATGGGTTAATTCAAGCCTTTTGAATGAAATTGGATAGACAGAACCATGTAGAGGTTGTTGATGTTTGTGTTAGTATGAAGTCACAAGTTATTGATCCTGGTAGTTTAAGCATGCTAGCCTTGTTCAAACTGGTGATAATGTCAGGTAATACAGTCTTCCAGAAACTGTAACTAAGTTCCACTCAGTATAGTTGCAGCATAGACAACAGGTAGGCTATGCAGGTGTTTAACAAACACAATTTTATTTGAGCAGGCTTCCTCAACTGGGATTGTCTAGCAACCCTGGCAGTCAACACAATTGCACTTGAAAACAAGTAGTCAGCTATTATGCATGTATTTAAATTAATCAATCTATAACCTGTTGATGAAAAAACATTTATTTTACACAATATATTATTTTTCAACATATTTTCCTCCCTAGTTAACATAATTAGTTCAAAACTTATTCATTAATCACAGATTGTACACTATACAATCACAATTTCAGATCAAAATTTGGCTCCAGGCCATATCATTTTGAAACACTGGCTACGATCACCAAAGTTAAGTAATGCTGAGCCTGGTCAGTATCTAAATGGGTTACTGTTTGCTAATAACAGATGCTGTAAGCTTGGGTGTGTGGGTGGTATAATAGATAATGGCTTGGAATTCTTAATCAGACAGCTGAGTTCCAATTCCAGTTGGATTCATTATATTCACTTATGTGCAAATTGGTAAAGGTATGAATCCACCTCTTCTTCCTCCAGCTATGGGTTAATTATTAAGACTTGTATCCATAAATCTTATTATCTCAAAAAAAAATAATATATAGATTTCTGCATTAAATAATTCATAGAAGTTGATATGGTACTAAACAAAAACAACAAAACCAAACAAGATTAAAATTTAACTTTTAATTATGTCAGTCTACAGATTGATACACCCTTATAGATTATATATACACTGA